CCTGTTTCTTATTTCTGTAAGCAGGTGTGCTTCTACTTCCTACCCCTCGCTAGCCACTTGTTTTCACCAACACGGAGCGAGAGGCATGCTGGCCCCTTTAGTTTATCCGACACATTGCTCGGAGACCCCACTGAAAACCCCACTCTGCTGTAAGGTTGACCCTGATCGGTACACAGCTCCATTGCAGGATTTGTCACGTTACACTGCAGCTGGCGACATCCCCATTGGCACCTCCCTGTGCCCACAGGTGTGACAGGAGGGCTTAGTGCAGGAGGGACTCCGCAGCACGCACGTGGTTCCAGGTCCCCTCGCGGCGGCTGCCACGTGCTGAGACACTCAGTAAAGCGCTTGATAGCTGAAGGCAGGTGAAGGCAGGCTGCCTGGCTTAGTGGGAAACAAACGTGCTCAAGTGAGAAGACTTGGGATTGGGTTTCAGCCTCAGTGCTCATCAAGGTCAAGTCGTGACCTTGAGAAGTCCGTGGACTCCAGGACATGGAGTTACCAATGATTTGACTTGCCTGTAGTCAGGGCTTACATTCGGCTGGTTCGGCTAGACCAATTATTAGAATATTAAACTGCTTCCATGACAGCTGGTAAGCCTGGGAGGGGAGGAGAGCTGCTAGCGGACGAGCCTGTTTCTCGGTGGCAGCAAACCCTCTACCTAGTCGAAGGTGGGAAAAGGACTTGGTTTGATACGTTCCAGAGCTTACTGAAAAGAGCCCACCCAAAACCCCAGTGGGTCCCAGGATGGCAAAAAGAAGCGATTCTCACAAAGCGTCCTTAAAAAGGCTTGTGTGAATTCCTCAGCACAGCAGCCTGGGGCTCAGCCTGCTGCTCTTTGAGGCACACACCGTGGCTGCGCTCGCCCTGCCAGGCCCTGTCGAGAGAAGGGGCCGGATGGCAGTGAGAAGCCTGTTTCCGGCGCTTAGCTTTGCAGGTGTCTCCCGAGGTAGGGCAAGAGCAGCGGGGCCGCGAAGGGCACGGGGAGGAGAGCAGGCTCGCTGGAAGGAGGGCATGTACGAGCCAGTATTTACGGAAAATTGGATGTGCTAATGAACCTGAGATCCATCAGGGCTTTCTGAAGGCAGGACAGTCTCTGTCAACAGACCAATTAGCACACAATTATTTTCCCTTTCTGAAAGCTTATCGGAGATGCTATTTGAATGTGTGCGCCTGAGTGGTGCTCTCCATTATCTCTATGGGCCCTTTTTGTAATCTGCCAAAGCTATCTGTGTCTGCTACAGAGAAAGCACAGGGTTCTCTGGACTCCCCCTCTAGAGACTCTGGGACTCTCATCCCTGGGGGGAAGGGGTCTTCCTTCAGGCATCCAGCTTATCAAGCCAGTGCCCAGGCACTATCTGGAAGAGGACCCTCTACATGTCCTGTTTTCCTTCCTTCCCATCTCGTTCTGTCTCTCAGGACAGAGGTGGCTCAGAGCAGAATGGCAGTGGAGAAAGCGGTCCCTTTGGGATCTAGTGTCATCTGAGTGAGCCTTCCTCCTTCTCGATCTGGCTTGGCTCCTTCCCTCTAAGGAAGTGACCGTGGGGATCAGAGTCTGTGTCTCTTCCTCGTTCCTGTCCTCATGCCACAATTAACAAAGGGAAGCTACCCACATCCTCCATGACTTACCTAATTGATTGTCCTCTTGTGGAACTGACCTTCGGAAATAGCCAAGTCAAGGTCAGAAAACCACCTCAGAGCCAGCCTGGAATGCTGCATAAAATGGTGCTGGTGGTGGTGGGGACCCAGATGGGTTGGTGGCAGGTAGACAGGGAGTGTGGGGGCATAAGGGAGAGGAGAGCGGCTGTTCACTGGTCTCCTCCTTGGTGGGTTGTCCTACTCCTCCCTGAGCCATGTAGCTCCCTCCCTGCCTGGACCCAGTGCTGGTGAGCAGCCAGCTCAGGGGTGGGTGGATGGAAAAGCCAGCGCAGATCTCCACAACAGTGTGGTGGCCAGGTCACCTGGAGGCGGGGAGAGGCAAGCGTCCTAAATACCACACCCACCCACCGTCTCACCCGCCATTCCACCCTGCCCTCAGTCCATCCCACTCCAGAAGAGCTGGGCTTGTCCATGGCCACGGCTCCTCTTACAGGCATTTTCACACAGAGATGAAGACCTTGCCTTGAAGGAGGCCTGGCCCTGCCTTCCCACTGGTGTGACCGCTAGCCCATCCGCCGCTCACTCAGTACACGGCCATTACTCAGCACCTAGTGCTCACCTGTGGAGGGAGGCAGGTGCATGTGTAACAGCCCGAACGCTGGGCTTACGGAAGCACGTTTCTTCCTGTCTCTGAACTCCTGGTGGCAGCGCCTGTGCCTTACTCAGGGTGAGTTCTGGATGCTCCTTGCATAGTTAAGTGAATAAATGGGCGAGTGAGAGAAGGTGTGAATGAGAGGAATGAATCCGAGCCCTGTAGGTAACTAGGTGTGTGACCTTGAATAAATCATTTCACCTACCTGGCCAAGGGCTCCTTATCTGTAGTATTAGGATACGGTGGTCTCTCGAGTCTATACAGTTTGTTTTGCCCCGGGTTCACATTCCGAGCAGAGGGCAGGCAGATCACTGAACTAGTTTGGATGAACTGCTCTATTGATACTTGTTTTTAGGCGTGATGTCACCCAGAGGGGTTTAACTCTATTTTCTGCAGTCCTTTGACACACCCTCACAGGAGACAGGAGGAGACTGAGGACTCAAACATTAAAATCCTGTTTTAGCTACTCTCAGCTCTGTGGCCTCGGGCACCAAAACTCTGTGAACCTTGGTTTTCTTCTTCAGAGAGTGATAGTAGCGAGGTTTGTCTCAGAGTTTCTGTGAAGGTTAAAAGAGATGCCATTGGGGGATGAACTTGGCAGCCGTAGGGTAGTCATTCCTGCCCCTGTCATGCTCTTGGTCCCGTTCTTTATTCGGGCTGGGTTTGCTGCTTTTCGTGCGCTGTGTCTGTCTATGCCTTGGTCTCTGTCTGTAATCACCTCTTTTTCTCCTAATTCTCTCCTCTTTCCCCTCCATTCCTACTCATCCTTCATGGCTCACCTCCCCCACGAAGACTTCCCAGACTAATTTAAGTCACGAGGTTCTCTCCCATCTGTCTCCCTACCTTATTTCTAGTCCGTATCAAACCAGACTTCATTTTTTAAAAGACTTTATTTATTCATTTGACAGACAGAGATCACAAGTAGGCAGAGAGGCAGGCAAAGAGAGAGAGAGAGAGAGGAAGAAGCAGGCTCCCTGCTAAGCAGAGAGCCCAATGTGGGGCTCGATCCCAGGACCCTGGGATCATGACCTGAGCCAAAGGCAGAGGCTCTAACCCGCTGAGCCACCCAGGCACCCCCATGAGTACTTATTAAGACTAAAACTACTAAATTCTCTTTAAAAATGTCATTTCTACTTTGCTCGTCACCTGGTGACTCCCCCGCCACCCCGTAACCTGCAGGGTGCTGGACATTTTCACGACACACGTTCCAGCTGTGTGTTACAGCTTATGCTCACCCCTTCTCCTTGCAGAGAACTTCCCTTCCCTTTTCTTCCTGGCTGCTTCTGTTTCTCTTTATTATTATTTATTTCATTTTACTTTTTATTTTAATGCCTGTATAGTTAACATACCATGTTATAGTACATCCAGGTGTATAATACAGAGATTCACTAAGACGCCTACTTATTCTTAAGGACCTGTTCAGTTGAGTCTCCTCTGTTGCTGCTTCCCTTCCGCTCCCTCTCTCTGCTCGGAGCTCTGTTTTCCTGAGTGCGCACTGACACAGGGCTTCTGCTCGACTTGGGTGCCTCGCCGCCATTTGCATTGTGCACCTGCCTCTCCCCCAGGGTGTCATTTCCTAGAGGACACCGTGCCTAACTTGCACATCTCTCCGCTCACTGAGTCTCCGCCCCACAAAGCCTGGCACATATTACACATGCTCTAAGTTACTGAGTGTCTGCTATGTGCCAGGCACTGTGTTCGTTGCTGTTGACAGCCTGGTGACGAAGGTGAATAGAAGCCTAGCCCCGGGGAGCCTTTAGTGTGTGGAGGACCCAGACTTTAACCAGATCTTTATGGAAAGGGATGGAAACTTCTACGCCTACTGCAGGGCAGAGGTGCCGGGAGCCAGGAGAGAGGGTCCGAGATATCAGGGCCGACTCCTTGAAGAACTCCAGGAAAGGCACTCTATGAATGTCTGATGAATTGTTTGGAATTGAACAGCAGCTGCTCAATAAATACTGTTGATTGGTTGATTGATTGTTGGCAAAGCTCTCGGAGATCCCAGCAAGAAAGGGCCGCGGGTCCCCATCATTCTTATTAGGGAATTATTTCAGTGCATTTAAAGCTCCCCATTTTTCATCTAATACTTTAAAAACATCAGAGAAAAATGGATAGGCCAACTTTATAATATTTTAAAATGATTCAGTGGTGTTTTGGAATATTACATGGCTATAAGAGTTGATGTATATTTAATATACTTATTAAAGTATGCAGTAAGCCCATGGCTGATTTTCTCTAAGGACATCTCAGTGGCGAGGTGGGACTTAAATGTTTAATACTAATAATAATACTCGTAACTCCTATTTCTCTAGTGCTTTTCATCCTCGGGATCCCTAAAGCTGCAAGCACCACATCGAGTGGATGCAGCTGGGCTTGCCAGCCGGCTGACGGCATCCACATCTGGACTCCTGTCTCCCTCTGGGGGAGGTAGTGGGGGGACTCAGGCTTAGAGGTCCATCTTCCTTTGCCTACGTTGAATTTTTTCTTCCCAGAGGCGAATTCCCTTTGGCTCCCTCGGAAGCCTCGCACTGTGTACAACCTGCTGCTGGCCGCCCTCCACCACCAGTACTCACCCAGTTAGAACAAGGAAGGAAGGTGGCTTCATGCCCCTGGGGGAAGGGAAACGCATGCGCTCTTGGGCTGCTCAGGGACAAGACAAGGGGCCTGAGGTCAGATGGCTGGAGAGGGAAGCACCTAGGGGCTGGTCTTCACTGGGCATCTAAATCCACAGTGTGCCCTCCTTCTCTAGGTCACGGAGACAAGGACTGGCCCTCTGGGCTGCAGCAACTACGACAACCTGGATTCGGTCAGCTCTGTCCTGGTACAGAGTCCGGAGAACAAAGTGCAGTTACTGGGTAAGTGGTCCCGCGATGGGAGGGGTGTCAAAATCTTTCACATCTCCTGAAAAACGTGGCTCACCAAGGAGCAGGAGAAGGTCCTGGGTGCCTCATTTGGCTAAACCCTGCCAAGGACCAGAACGACCAGGAGTTCTGGGACCCGTATGAAACAACTTTCCCTCATTCTTTTGGGAGATTTTTCTGACATGGTTTATCCTGCACCCAAGACTACTCTTCATACCACTTGGCACCCACACCTTCACATGTGTTAGTCCTCCCCAAGACCCCTGTCACTATCCTGCAGCAATACCACATCCATACTTTGGCCTGGTTTGATGATCTCCTTTGTTGCCCAAAGAACCCTCCACTTTGTCCTAAGGACACACTGGGGAACAGCTAGCCTTTGCAGAGTGGTTATGGGGCCACCATCTCTAGCTCAGCTGAGAGCTTTACAAACTGTGGGGTCATTGGCTACCCCAAGAGTGGTCTCTACTTTCTGTGATTAGTCTGTCCTCTCCCTTGGGAGATCAAAGTCAGGAGAACAGTTTGAGAGGAAGGGGAGCCCTCACTGGAGACAGAACTAGACAAAACAGCCTTGCAAACAGGAAAGCAAAAAGACGGGGTGGCATGAGGCCTGGAGGCTGGGAGGTTAAGGGGAGGCACTCAGCTCCTGCTGCCTGTCCCCCAAGCATCCTGGGCCAGGGCTATGCAAACTGATTCAAACAGAGCTGTTTGGCAATGGGAAAAGTTCATTTTTCTTAAGGCCTAACTGAATTGGACTCTGTTTAAGATATTATTGTCTCGGTATTATAAAATCAATAGCCCTCACCCAGGATCTACGATTACAAATTCCAGGCAACCTGAGCTAGATGCAACCCATCAGCACTTTCAGAATCAAGGAATATATAAAACAAAGGAGTAAAAGACTCCTTGCTTTAGAGAGGCACCTCATGCCATTAGCGTCCCTCTTCTCCTGTCCCTCTGTGGGCTGGGTTTGCATCTGGAAATTAGCGATGAGTGAAGTTCGGAATGTCTGGTGGTTCATTTGGAATGGTTTATGCCATTTAATTTTATAGCTCATCACTCATGCAGACATTGCTCGGGGCACTTATTTTATAGCAATGGGAAATGTTATGGTGAGGAGGAGGGAGGGAGTGGGGTAGGTGAAGAGAAAGGACTTGGAAGGGTGTGCGTCGAAAGCAAGCGTGTGGACAGGGTGTGTGGGCTGGGCTGCTCAAGTGCCAGCTGTGGGCACGACATGAGGAGAGGAGAATTTAGGAGTGTTCAGAATAGGAGGCAGACCTTAAGCAAGAACAACGAGCACCCACTGCTGCTAGAGTTCTAAGTTATGTTCCGAGGTCTGCTGAGACGAGGAAAACATACTTTGGGCACTCTGATTTCCTGCCAAGGACAAGGTTACGGGCGTGACAGTAAAAAGCTGGCAGATATTTGAGGAGAGGGGAGCTTATTGTACCCAGAAGTTCTCCTGTCCCTCACCCTTCTGGCATAGTCTCTCACAAGGTCCCTACTGGGGAGCCTCTTGCAGGTCTGACCTCGAACCTGGCCAGGCTGCCTGCCTCCAACAGCATGCCTGTCCTTCATTCACCTCTTGATATGTTTCCAACAGCCATCCTGAGTGGCTTGAAGCTGATTCGGGAATATATTCTGCTACTGGTAAAATAATACCCACCACAGATGGGTAGGAAAACTGAAGCTTGGAGCAATTTAGTGGATTATATCCAAGATCAGAGGCAGCTAATTAGAAAAGAGCTGAGCACCATTCATACCTGCCCAGGCTTGACTGAACTTAGGATGCCCACCACCAGCTAACTTTCCAATCCCCTGAAGAGTTAAAGTGAACTGAGACAGGCGGCCGGTCCCAGTGATGCAGTATGACCTGATGGTACCAGGGGCAGGTCTGACACCAAGCCAATTTCAAGAGCACTGTCACTCGAGCAGGTGGCTGAGGCCACTGAGCTCGGATCTCCTCCCCTAGAAGAGCCTCAGTCTGCCCAGAACTTTATGTATGATCATATACACAAAGTACTTGGTGTGGGGCCTGGCTGCTACATATCAGCAACCCTTGTCCCCACTTCCTAACAGAGCGGCCCCCTTGGTCATCAGAACTGGGGTGGGAGCCCCGGGACGGGGGTCAGCATAACATCTTAGGATGTCTGCTGCTCAGCTCAGAGAAGCCAGAACCAGGATGGCTGTGGAAAGCAGAACAAAAAGTCCATTGAGCCTTGATTCCTCCCCTGTGAGGGCTGTAAGCTCTCCTTCCAGTTCCCATCCTAGAAATGCTGATGCGCAGCCAGTAAGGCCATCCGTGTGATACGCGGGCTCTCAATTTGGCTGACAGGAGGGGTTTGCCTAAGCCTTGGGCTTTGATGCTCCTCATCTGCATTTTCAGACCCCTCCCACCTGTCCCCCGGGGCAGCCTGACCCTTTTTACCCAACCAGCTCTACAGGGTCAGGCCCTGGCATGACCGGCCATTCTTGGGCCCAGAATGCACAAGTGTGCAGAACCCCAGCTGGGGATCCTGCAGCCCTGAGTGTGGGACACCAAGTCCCTACCGGCCCTACCCCACAATCACCGGGATGGCCTTTCCCCAGGCCTGCAGGTGCTGCTGCCCGCGTACCTGCGTGAGCGCTTTGTGGCCGCGGCACTCAGCTATATCACGTGCAGCTCCGAGGGCGAGCTCGTCTGCAGGGGGAACGACTGTTGGTGCAAGTGCAGCCCCACCTTTCCGGAATGCAACTGTCCCGACGCTGACATCCAGGCCATGGAGGATAGCCTGCTACAGATCCAGGACTCCTGGGTGACCCACAACCGGCAGTTTGAGGAGTCAGGTGAGCAGTCGGCTGGCCCCCATTTCCTCCCTGGCAATGGGGAATGGCTGGGAGGTGCAGGACTGGAATGTGGGAAATGCAGCATGGGTCCTGGCTCACCCACCTGTGTCCGTGACCCCTAGCGGGTTATATCACCCTGCAGGTCTCAAGTGGTTATCTTTGTTGTCGATGCAAATGGACATGACCCCTACCAAAAAGATGGACGTAGTAAGTTCAGGTGAATATATTCGAGGGCATAGGCCTTGCCTGCACATAAGGTGCACAAGGACTATTTGTTGGATTACTGAAGTACTAGAAGCACCCAGTACATGCACCCAGTACATGCTGATGAGGGCTTGTTGCGGGTACAACGAATGTCAACATTACCTTGAGATCTAGATTCAGGACCTGATTTTGAGTCCATGCTCAGAGTGTCCTTTGAACCTTTGTGTCCCCTGACATTTTTATGTTGAAAATACAATGCCCAGGGAGGCGGGGCCTTTGGGAGGTGACTAAGGGATTGGTGCTCTTATAAAAGAGGCCCCAGAAGGATCCCTCTCCCCTTCTACCACGTGAAGACACAGTGAAGAGTTAGCCCTCTGCGACACAGAAGAGGGCCTTCACCAGAACCTGACCATGCTGGCGTCCTGATCTTGGACTCTCGGGTCCTTGAACCACGAGAAATGAATTTTTGTGGCTTATCAGCCAACCAGTATGTGGCATTTTCTGAGAGCAGCCCCCAAAGAAAAAGACACTCTGTTACTGACTGGTTTTATGACCTCGTATTAGCCGTGCAGCTTCACAATACCCCCATTTCCCCATCTGTAAAAGAGGGAAAGTGATCACAATGGGTGGATAGGAGGCTCACGTGGGAAAGTGTAGGATAAAATTCATGTATAAATAACTCTGGTACATTCGTACACTTCAACACTAAATAAGCAGTAGTTCTGTGGATATAGCTCGGGAACATAATGTTGGGTAAAATGAAGCAAAATGAAAAAGGTTATGTATTTTGTATACATAGTATATCAATATAATAATACTGTAACATGTATTAAATATAAGACATATTTAATACTATTTATATGATGCTTTAAAACATACTAGCCGATACTTAATATTTTTACAGATAAATGTGTTTGTAGAAAACGTGAAGAAATATATGGTAGCTACTGAACATCTAAGAAAGTGGTTGATGGAGAGGGGAAGTTTACGGCCTTCGATTATATATTCTCACTGCCTTATTTCTCAAAAACAAAACAGAACAAAAGACTGAAGCCAGTAAAGCAGAATGCCTAAATCTAGGTGGTGAGCACACAGGGGTTTGTCCTGTTACTCCCTGTGCTCTTTTGTGAGCTTAAATGTTTTATAAAAAGAACGATGAGGGGCACCTGGGTGGCTCAGTCGGTTAAGCATCTCACTCTTGATTTTGGCTCAGGTCATGTTCTCAGGATCGTGAGGTCGAGCCCCATGTCAGGCTCTCTGCACTGGGTATGGAGCCTGCTTAAGAGTCTCTGCCTTTCTCTGTCTCTCAAAAACAAAAACAAAAGACCAAACCCAATTACATACATCCTAGTTGTTAATGTCATCACCAGGTATGATTCTCAAACCATTGGGAGAGGGGTAGAGGGGCAAATAACCAGGTGCTTGAGAAATCAGAATGAGTTGAGGCCCCGTGCATTGTCATTTCAAGTCCCAGACACGGCAGTTAATTGCTAAGAACATTCCAGTCCCCACAGCCCCAGCTGAACTGGGTTGTGATGGTGGGACATGTTCAGTGCTGCTTACTGTGGAACATGATGTTGGGCTCCCACCACCATCGGTTATTTACTGCTAATGAGTAAATGAGGGCTATCTGGACCCCCACCAGTGGCTGCAGGTCCCAAGTAAGCAGATCTGGGTGTGAGTTCAGCAAACATGGTGTGCCCGGGAAGCTCAGAGAGCTCAGACTTGCAACAGGCACTGAGAGCCAGAGAGCGTCTTGCTTCTGGATTAGCCACGGGAAAGACCAGGAATCTGCCAAGAGCCGAAGCTTGAAAGACAAAGGGTGTTCCAGAGTCTGAGGAAGGATGTGGACAGGAGAGGCTGGGCGCAGGGACTGGAGGTTTCTAAGCAGCTTTCTGAGCTGGGTGCTCCGTGTCTCTGTGTCCGCACTCACCGGCCGTGCACTCGTCCCTTCGTGACTGCCGCACAGCTTCCCCGGGGTGTCTCTGGTGTGACTGAAGGGGACGGGCCTGTGGCAGTTGTGAATGATGTATAAGGAGTTACCGAGGGAGAAAGCGGTGCATCCAAGGTCATTGGCAAAAGCAGCACCTCTGGCCTGCTTGGGCAGGACAGAAATCTGGTTTGAAATTCAGAAGCCTATTAGGGGCAGGAAAGAGAGAAAAGAATCCTAAAGCTATTGTTTATGGTATGTTAAATATTTTCCAAATAAAGCTGTTGAAAAGGAAATATATCCAAGGGCCTGGGAGAGTCGGTGGGAAGCCTCCTTCCTCAGGCAGGGACTCACCAAGGCCCGCTGGGTCTGGGCAGTGCCCTCCTGCCCCTCCCAGGGTCTGCATGGTGCTCCCTGAGCGCCACTCTGTGTCCTTGCCCGCAGAGGAATTCCAGACCCTGCTGAAAAGGCTGCCAGACGACAGGTTCCTGAACTCCACGGCCATCTCGCAGTTCTGGGCCATGGACACCAGCCTTCAGCACCGCTACCAGCAGCTGGGGGCCAGCCTGAAACTGCTGTTCAAGAAGACCCATCGGATCGTCCGCCGGCTCTTCAACCTGTGTAAGCGCTGCCCCCGGCAGCCTCGCTTCCGCCTGCCCAAGGAGAGGTGAGCTTCCCGGCTGCCGGGCCCGAGCTCGGCACCTTCCCCCGGAGTGGCTGAAGCTGGGGGGTCCTCTGTCCCACAGGGGAGAGCCGGCCGTGGGGACCCATGTGAGGCCTTGGGAGAGTCTCCTGCCGTCTTTACCTCCTTATGTGTCCTGCTCAATTCTGACTTGTGTCTGAAGTGAGGGAGAGGAAACAGAGGCTAATTGTACTTCTGTATAAATTATGGTAGATTCCAATGTGTTAATAATACTCTGATTCTCACTCATTTTTATTTTAAGGCTTTTTTTTTTTTTTAGGGAAGAAAGGGGTGGAGTTGTAGCTCACACTCCGACTGCATACAGTGAGAATACGCACATCGGGTTGTTTTACACAAGCGACTGCTCTCAGTCACAGGAGGGGAAGGCGAGGCAGGGCTCCCTGGCCTCCGACGCTCACTCCTCCCCACCTTGGGTGCCCAGTGGGTCAACAAGTGCACACAGCATATCCTGATTTTAAGCAGTGTGTTTGGGGGTGGGGGTATTTGTTCATTGGGAAGATCTAATAAATACACAGAAACCCCCAAACTGCAAAATTTTAACTATGTGGTGGCCACTTAAAGTCACATTCCCGGAACATAAATCAGAGGCATGGTCTAGTAAAAAGCGGGAGCCGGAGAGAAAAGCCACCTTGGAGAAGGAAGTCTCAGCCAGACTGTATGGGAGAGATAGAAGTGGGGCGCTGGGGGGGGGGGGGGCTTGTCTCACCCAGTAGAGGTGCCGCTCGCACTGAGGCCCGGGGAAGGAGGGAAGCGTGAGTGGAGAGCTCGGGCCAGCAGAGGCTCTGAGGCACTTACCTGGTTTCTGAGAACTTGCTCGCCAAACCCGTGGCGTCCCTGCTCTCGCGGCATCCACAGAGAGGCCGTCTGGGAACACATCACCAGTAGACAATAATGTCCAATCCTGATCCCTGCCATGCATTACGTGAAAACAAGAGAGCGACTGGGTAGTTCTTTTGAAAAGGGTGTCACGGGAGACCTCTTTGAGGGGGGGATCAGAGGAGCTGAGATGTCAATCGGAAGAGGGAGCCAGCCATAGGAAATTCCTGTTCCTGGTGGCAAAGTGACAGAAGAAGAGGGAATAGAAAAGATAGCGTTGGAGAAGTGGGAAAGAACCTGATGGGACGCTGGGAAGCGGGGAGAGCCAGTTGTTGGACAGTCTTACCTGGAAGGCTGACAAGTGCAGAAGGGGTTTTGATGCAGAGGCTGCGGGAGATCTCCCGCAGGCTGCAGAGGGAGCGAAGGAGGTGGTACTGGGGCGGGATGAGGCTGGCTGCTCGCTGGGCAAGTCTGGTGTTAAGTATTTCTGGTGTTGATCTGTCCGTCAGACGCTGCGCTGCGGGCCTGACTCCACCATTCCAGAGTGGTGCGGCAGGGGGTTTCCATCATGCAGGGGACTTGGGGCTCTTGTCCTTCTCATTACCTCTCCTGCCTATCGGTCAGTGTCCTCCCACCCTCGGGGGAGATGGCGGTGGGCTTCCTCTGACTCCCTGTTTATGTCTACCTCCCTTCCCCAAGGTCCTTGTCCTATTGGTGGAACCGAGTCCAGTCGCTCCTCTACTGTGCAGAGAGCACCCTTCCCGGCACCTTCCTGGAGCAGAGCCATAGCTGCACCTGCCCCTACGACCAGTCTTCCTGCCAGGGCCCCATCCCGTGTGCCGTGGGGGAGGGGCCCGCCTGCGCCCACTGCGCTCCGGACAACAGCACGCGCTGCGGGGGCTGCAACCCGGGCTACGTGCTGGCGCAGGGCTCGTGCCGGCCAGAGGTGGCCGAGTCCCTGGAGAACTTCCTGGGGCTGGAGACGGACTTGCAGGACCTAGAGCTGAAGTACCTGCTGCAGAAGCGGGACAGCCGCATCGAGGTGCACTCCATCTTCATCAGCAACGACATGCGCCTGGGCAGCTGGTTCGACCCCTCGTGGAGGAAACGCATGCTTCTCACGCTCAAGAGCAACAAGTACCAGCCGGGGCTGGTGCACGTGATGCTGGCGCTGTCCCTGCAGATCTGCCTCACCAAGAACAGCACCCTGGAGCCGGTCATGGCCGTCTACGTCAACCCGTTCGGGGGCAGCCACTCTGAGAGCTGGTTCATGCCCGTGAGTGAGGGCAGCTTCCCCGACTGGGAGAGGACTAATGTGGACGCAGCCGCCCAGTGCCAAAACTGGACTATCACCCTGGGGAACAGGTGGAAGACCTTCTTCGAGACAGTCCATGTTTACCTGCGGAGCCGGATCAAGTCCCTGGATGACAGCTCCAACGAGACAATCTACTACGAGCCCCTGGAGATGACCGACCCCTCCAAGAACTTAGGATACATGAAAATCAACACCTTGCAGGTCTTTGGCTACAGCCTCCCCTTTGACCCGGACGCCATCCGGGACTTAATTCTCCAGCTGGACTACCCGTACACTCAAGGTTCCCAGGACTCTGCCCTCTTGCAGCTCATAGAGCTCAGGGACCGGGTAAACCAGCTTTCCCCACCCGGCAAAGTCCGGCTCGACCTTTTCTCCTGCTTGCTCCGGCACCGGCTCAAGCTGGCCAACAACGAGGTGGGCAGGATCCAGTCCTCCCTGAGGGCTTTCAATTCCAAGCTGCCAAACCCCGTGGAGTACGAGACAGGCAAACTCTGTAGCTAATGGGGGCCCCACTCCAGGGCTGGGGAGGGAGGTAGTCCAGGGTGATCCACCGATCCCGGGGCACAGAGATCATCCGAGCCCTCACCTTAGTGCCAACAGGGTTCTCCCTTGGGACTTGCAGCACCCAGCTGTCGGGACCTCAGGGCTTGGCCTGAAGCAGGCAGGAGAGAAAGAAACAGCCACTGCACACACGCACACACTCACCATGTGCGTGCGCACGCGTGCACACACACGCATACATGCTCACTCACACAGGGAGGCTACAATTCAGCAGCCTCAAATCTGTAAAGTCGGTGCTTTCGAATGATGCAGTTGAAGCAGAGGAGCCAAGGGAGAGATTAAGCAAAAGAACCAGCCAAACCATGAAAAAATAAATCCTGAAAAGTGATTCTTATCATTCAAGGAAGCAAGAGGGGGCACAGCGGTAGGAAATAGAGCAGCTCCTCCTCCCCCTCCGTGGAGTCACTTTTGTATTCTTTTTAACCTGATTTCTTAAAATGGCATTGTTTCGTGATGACCCATGTTGGTTCTTACTTTTTGTATGCTGCCTTGTCTGTGCCCTCCCAGACACTGACTGCTTCTCAAGCCGGCGCCCCCGGGAAACTCAAGGGGACACTGACAGGACCGCGCGGGCAGGCAGGCAGCCTTGCTCTGCGCCCCCCTCCTCCTCCCTCGGCCCCCTTGCTTCCTCGGCCTCACCACTTTGCTCCCTGTCCCCCTCGTGGTCCAGCCGGAGCTCCTCTTGCAACAGCACCCATTCCGCCCAAGAAAGCAGCTCCGTCAAGTTAGAAAGAGACGATGTATAGGGAAGTGTTCTTTTTTAAAAACAAAACAAAACAAAACAAAAATATTTATTTTGTGATTGTTTTCTTTGTCAATCTGCTCCAGCCACATGAACATATGAGTAAAAGTTTACCTGGTTTAATATATCTTCTTAGAAGGTCTTTCTTTAGGGGGAAATGAGAAAAAGAAAAAAAAAAGTATAGCTCCCTGGACTGCCTGGAATTTTTTTTTTTTAATTGCTCTGTGTGTGATACATGAGTATTCATGGGGAGTGGATACGGCTGTGGGGGAGGCTGGCCGATTAGTGTGGCTTTCACAAGTGAATGATGTCTGGCTTAACTGTGTGTGTGTGTGTGCGTGCACGCGTGCGTGGTGCACCTGTGTTTATGTGGGGGTTGTTAAATGAACGGAGTGAGGCAGAACCCTCCCAGAGTTCTCTTGCTACCCGCCTCCCTCCCACACCTTTTCCCAGGCATGAGAACTAGCACAGGTCCTATAGCCAGGATTTCCCACTATCAAGAGAGGTGCATCCAAGTCCCTGTTCACAAGGGGAACCGCAGGCTTTGTGCTGGGTGCGTACCTGGGAAGGGGGGCTGCTCTTTGCCGATGCTGCGGACATCAGGAGAGTTCCCCACACTCTCTGCACCTTACGAATGATGCGGACATGGCACTGGTTTTCTCCATTCTGTCTGATGACCACTTTCACAGCCTAAAAAGCAGGATGACCTACACCACACAGAATAAGGCATCATTGTCACCATAGTGTCTCCCCCAGGTGGTCTGAGAAGCATTTCATAGCAAATCTCTTGGAGAACCACTGCCCTATCTATTCTCCACAGGCTCCAAGTACAGTGTGGAGGCATGATGAGCCCCATTTTCTTCAGGCAAAAGTCACCACATACATACCAAGTGCTCCATTCCCAGCCTGGGCTATAGCTCCGCCAGCACAAAATGAACTGGGAGATGAAAAGGATAGTCCTATCTACGTGTCCCCAAACCTCCTATGTTTATTGTTGCCTAGAGAAGAATTCGGTATCATATTTTTAAAATTTTTTAAAAATTATTTTTATTAACACATCATGTATTATTTGGCCCAGGGGTGCAGGTCTGTGAATTGTCAGGCCTATTCACTTCACAGCACTCACCACATCAGCATCATATTTAATCATGGTACCATACTTCAACCCACAAGGACCTGAAATCCAGCATTTCTTTCTTCACAATACCCCTGGAGCCCTCCAGGATAGAAATCCAGAGTGATGGGAGAATCTGGGGTAGACGCAGGTAGTGGCTATCTATTTCCATTCAGCCACTGTTGGCTTCAGGGAATTTATACGACACCACTCATCTGTGGAAGATGGACTCAGCAGATATCACCTTCATCAGTGGGGGATTGACGTGACAGAGGAGTGTGCTGTTGTGGGAAGGGGGATGTCAGGGGTAGGAGGGCGTTGATACTGCCCAGTGATGGGGTTTGAGAGGTGCAAGACAGATCTCAGAGTCCGAGTTTAGCACTGACTCTGGATGTCTACATGCTGTAGGATTGGGTGGACACAGGCTCTCACCCGTGAATTAAAGGCACACCATGCACAGCGTGAGGAGGAAGACAGCTGCAAAGATGGCTGTGCCCAAAGCCAGCAGCGTACACCTTCAGTCGAATAAAGGTAATTGCCCTGGTGAGAACAGAGTCAGTACGCAAGGGCCGGTGCCACCATGGAGGGGTGGGAAACCTCAGTTGTCAAAGTCTCTGACTCAGACCAGACTGAAGGAAAGGCAAGTGGGTAGTGCTGTGCTTCTTAAGAAGGGTGTTATGTCTTCTTCTCTCCGACTCCTTGTCTTAGGAAGGCTCTGGGAAGATGATGGTGGGATGTATTAAGCCTTTAGAAATATATGTACCCAGTGGCTCAGTGGGTTAAGCCTCTGCCTTCTGCTCAGGTCATGATCTCAGGGTCCTGGGATCGAGCCCCACATCGAGCCCTGCTGAGCAGAGAGCCCACTTCCCCTTCTCTCTGCCTGCCTTTCTGCCTACTTGTGATTTCTCTCTCTGTCAAATAAATAAATAAAATCTTAAAAAAAATATATGCACCCAGTTACAAAGATTTCCACTTCTTGTCTGCTTGAAGGCTTAAACCACAGAGCTGAGCATATCAAGTCCATTTAAAAGCACTCTTACATATTGGTAAATATTTAGGAGTGCCCTTGTGAGCCCAAATGCAAGTACCATATTGACAGAAGGCCTAAAAGACATTATTAATTAATCACCATAGAAGAAATGTTTATATTTGACCTACTCATCTGTTATCTGTGATGGATGTCTGACTTTTCTATTCTGAGACAGTGATGGGGTGTCTGGAGTACCAGAGCTTGGGTCAAAGCAACAGACTCAAGATTTTGCTTCTGGAAAGCAGGTGAGAGAAGGAGGGAGTGTGGAGGGGATAAAGGATGGGCAGGTAAGATTTCTTAAGAGTTTTTTAAAGGCTTGAAGCCATGCATTCAGCATGGAGTTTCTCAGAAAGCTAGGCTAAGAAATGCCACAATGTGAAAAGGCTGTCCATAGTCAAAATTGTCACCTTGAAAGTCTATAATAAGTCAGAAGATGTGAACAACCTATTCTTATACACAGTTGAAAATAAAGAATGGTCATTAATTAATTAGTACTGGGCTGTCAATGTTGGTGAACTCAATGTAGAATTAAGAGCCAAATCACAATTCAGTTATTGGATATAACAATCAGGAATCCAAGCCTTAATTGTAACCCTGAAGAATTAATATATCAAATGCTAATCTGCCCTAATGCTTGAGACTAATACCTGTAATACTAAATAACACATTTAATGCCCCCTGCTAATAATGTAATGCTATGCTCTGCAAGCATATTCATGTATCCACAGTCACCAAAAAAAAAAAAAAAAAAAAAAATGAAGATCTATTCAAATACAGGGAATCACAAATATTTCAGATCCAATTCTTGGCTTCTTTTCACAAATAGGAGAATAGTCATCGTGATGGGCAGTGCTGCCTGATGGGTAGATGGAATGTATGGCCTCCATGATGTCCTGTCCCCAAATAGCACCTCCAAAGCCCGTGATTTCATTGTGTGAGTCTGTTCTCTTGCATATAGGAAAGATCTTTTTTTTTTTTTTGGCCATTATATTTTGTATGAAAATTAAAATGCCTTTAGGAAGAAATAAGTCTTAGAAGTTAACCACTGGCAAAATCGAGGTATAGATTTTTGGAGCTGGAAGGTTTTTAGAAGCCATCTAGCCTACCTGTTTCTGACATGAGGGAGAAGAGGTCAGAGAACTCGCCTGAGGTTTTATCTATCAGCTGGGGAAGAAGAACAGCATTCCTTCCCTACCTCTCTCTGTAACAGAATGATAGCTGGGTCCTGGGAGATGACAGGGACCCAGTTTCAGGGCTCGGGAGTGTGAGGATAGGGAAGGGAAGACATGTTTCTGGGATAGAGAAGAGGACTTCCTAGAGGTAGGAATATCCTCTCATCTTTTCCTGGGAGTGGATCTAGCAAAAGTAATCAGCTGTTGTAACAACCGAAAGGCAAAGGCTGAAGTCTCTTCCCTGAGAAGCTTTAAGCATGGAGTAGACATGTTTCCATCTAGGCTGGAGACGGAGGGATCAATTTGCTGGTTTCCTGATAACTCTATCAGCTCGGTGATTTTTAATTACAACATCCTGCCTCCAATTGCTTGCTGTTTTCTCTACCACCAGTTAGAGTTTAAATACCATTACAAATCTGGTAACTTCTGCAAACCATCTTTGTTGTGAGGGCTAGAGATGTCTGAGTACTGACAACACACGAAGGCCCTAGGCTGTGCAGTCCCTATGGCAAATGCATGACCTAGGGCTAGGGCCCTGGCAGAGAACAGTAATAGGGCAGCAGTCTGCTGTGCACTGAGAGTTTTTGCTCTGTCCAGCAGCAGAGCGAGAAAATAGACTAAAGGAGCTACTGAGACACAGAACTTGCCCCTGGTCTGGAAGGGACAGGTTGACAAATTCAGGTTTTGTGACCGGCTATAGACACACCCGATAGGTTTCTTATTCTGTGCCTGCCACTAGCCAGCTCTGTAACTGTGAGTGAGTTAATCCACTTCTCTGGGTCCCCGTGTGCTCCCCTGTGGACAAGGGAATTGGATTTCTCACGCAGATATTAGGGGTCCTTCTATGGCTCTTCTTTCATGCCTTTAAAGACGGTGTGGCACAGGAGGCGGCACAGGCTATTAAGTCAGATCTGAATTTGCATGTTGGCTCCACACTTGTATTTAAGTGATCGTAATTCTTGATTTATCCCCTTATCTGTAACCCAGATGCTTCGTCCTTTAAGACTTCCCTAAGGTTTTCTTTCCTTTCTCTTTCTCTGCACACTTTCGCCAGTCCTTCCCAACTTCAAGAATACACATATGCTTTCAATTCCCTAAAACTCAATGCTATTTCTTTCTTCTTTCCCTCCTCCATCCCTCTCTCCTTCCCTCCCTCCCTCCCCTTCCCTCTTCCCTCCCTTCTTTTGGTAAGGGCTAGGCCCTAGGTAGGTGCAGGACAAACAAGATTTCATGAGTTTTAGCACAATACAATGTGTGTGTGGGGGTGCATAGACTAGTCAGAGGGATGCACTCTCCAGTAAAGATGTACCAAGCCCTGGTGGTATAGAGAATGGGAGAAAACTACTCCCTGGGAGGCCCTGAGGACATTTGTTGTGAAACTTCTAATAACCATGGAAGCAATCCCCTGGTCTCTAGATGTTTCACACGTCAGTGTGTGAAACACATGCGTGCCACATCTCAGAGAGCAGAAAGGAGCAACAGCGGCTGCAGAACTCCCTGAAGGCACACATCTGGCTAGTGTCCTTACTTGTGACTCCTGAGTACCACATCGGCACCTTCCTATTCTGTCCAAGGCACACTCCAGGGACGCCCACGGGAGCTCTGTTTGGTAGAGCAGGTGCCTCCCCTCCTTGCGGGCCTTCGCCAGCCTTATGGTGCCTAGGACTCCCCTGCAGAGTCCAGTTCGGCAGGCCTGAGCGAGGGCCCAGATTCTACACATCTAACTCGCTCCCAGGTGATGCTGCTGCAGCTGGTCCCGAGACCGCCCTTGGAGGAGTGAGCTCTTAGAGAGGGCGCCTGTCATTTTCCTG